TGGACGTAACAGTTTATTCAATCACTGGAAGCATTTCCCTAAAATTATGTGAAGTACAGCATAAAATCTTTTAGCTATTCTTCTATTAGCAAGAGAAAAATGCTAGTTTTAAAACAATGAAAGATGTCAAGGCAGCAGGTGGCATTTACTGCTGGATGAGCTGGGTTTAGGATGATATTAATTTCTGTCCTCTTAAAAGGGATGGGGCTCATGCTTACACTACAGTGCAGATTTCCCCATGGTTTTTTTTTTTAGCAAAATTTTCTTTCTCTCCAGCTCTCCCTAATTCAAACCAAGTGCTAATGTGTTTAACAGAACTGTTAATATGTTTAATGGGTCTGATTTCCACCCAGTTTTAAAGGTTTTTTTAACCTTTCACCAGTACAAAGAGACTGTATTATTAACTTAATCCAGATTTCAATATCCAGCCAGTATAAATAACTGCAACTCTTGCCCTGCTATTATGACATTTCTTTGTACATTTGGGTTTCCTGTGTGGTTCAGGAATGCACTGCAGGGCTGTTCATAAGAATGTTTTTATGCATGCTACTAATTATATACAAATGGCCTGTATATAACATGTCTTCCAATTTCCTTCCCCCACTGTTTATGCAATCAGGAGGAGGTCACGAAGGTGACTTACATAGTATGATCTTCATCCAATCATGGTGGAAACCGCTAGCTAGCTTTGCCTAGCCTACAATGTATAGATTAGCATTTCTCATCCTATAATGCCAGGGACGTGCAGTCAGGGGAGGCGGGGCCTCACCAGTTTCATGAGGAAAAGAAAAGAATAATTAAAAGGAAAAAGGCTAAGATAGTTGCTGACAGAGTCACAGTGGATGACTCTGCTTAGTGCTTAACTGCAGNTTTTCATGATGACAGTGGTGAGGCTCTGCCTCCCCTGACTGCAAGTCCCTGCCTAAATTTAGGATCAAGTCTAAATATTTTGACAATCTTTGCTCTTATTAGTTCAATGAGGATTCCTGGCTTACGTGTGTGATCTGTTACTCTCTTGAATTGGCATAGTGGTACATAGACAGTATCACTAGTTGATATTCTCTGAGGACATCCAGTGCTTACATTAATTTTTCATTGTCCCTGTATTTTAATAATGTACCCAATAAACCTACCAGTTTCTTAGAAAGGGTTTATTAAAAACATATACAGATAAAATAAATTCAACCTAAAAGCACACCTACCCGAAAACTGCAATATAATGTATATTATATGATTCTTATAGCTGATTATTCTATAATATAGCAAGTTGACTATTCCAAAATGTATATTTATAAACAGAAATTTGGTAATTTATAAATGTATTGCTATACATTAAATTTCCAGGAGAGGGAGTAAGGCATCTACAGAGACCTTTCTTAATTTAAGTGAACACCATTGCTACTAGATACTTAATTTTGAATTTTGGCTACTCAGACCCAAAGCAGGAAAAGTTCTGCTTTAAAAAAAAAGTGTTAATATTTTGTACAGAAAACATTTTGCAAAATTCCGATACAGTCTTTTAAAATTACATATATGAGAAAGTTAAAATGTTTTAAAAATATTAAAGTTGTTTTATCTGAGAATGTATTATATCTGAAATTGCATAATAATTCCCAGTAAATCAGTCTATTGTGCAATCCTATATTTATTTGGGTGGCAATAAGGATCAATATTTCAACTGTAGTAGTTCTTGTTGTGTAAAATTGTCCTTGCATATATCATAAAGTTTATTAATGTGCATACTTGCTATCATCCATCCATCCATCCATCCATCCATCCATCCATCCATCCATCCATCCATCCATTCATCTATCCTACATTTTTGCTAATAGAATTTAGCTGTGATTTACTCATAAAACTATACATTATCTATCTCAATATGTTAATCAATGATAAAATTTGATACATGCCTGCTTGTATATTTTTGGATATCAACTCAGTCATGGAAAGCCATTGGGTATTTTAAAGTTCACACATCTGGGAAACACATGAATTCAGAAAGATTGACATAAGTTATCTCACATGTTTATATGAATATAAAGGGTAGACTCTTCAGCAGTTGGAAATTTATATCAGTAAATCATAAAAGATGTGAGCAATGGTATTTCTTACTGATTGCATTCCTTATGGCATATCTTTTTTGGGACAGATGGATAAAGATACGGCAAAGAGCATTTATTTTATTTACTGCCCAACTCCAGTGGATTCTTCTGCATCTCAACCTGAAGGTATCAAGGGAGATGTTTGTGAATGGCATGTTCATTCCAGGAAGCATCTTTTGCACTTTTGACTTAAATGTTATATAAACATTTGAATTCTGTTGGATACATATATTCGTAATTTAACAGCTTGTCCTATAACAGATTGAAAGAGAATATTGGATCTGATGAGAAAAAGAGTTGAAATACAAACTTCTATGGAATTGGTGGGTCTCATCATTTCTTCATATTGTTTTATATACCTCAGTAGGCCAAATTTTCATTACTAAAATACTCCTTAAAAGATTATTGTCCTTTAACAGACTATAATGACAGCCACCTTAACAAGTATTGACAACTTTTCCTCTACAATTGTTATCCCCACTTGATGGCCATTATTGCTACACGTTTTAAGAATCCTAGTTAGTAGACTTCATATTTAAAATTGGATTGATATCAGATCTGCCAACTAACGTCCTTAAAACTTTTTTTGCAACGTAACTGGACTTTATCAACCAATGAAAGCATAAAACTGAGTACTTTTGTATAGACTGAAATATAGCTCTAATAACATTCTTGGTAACTCTTTTATTTTCATTTAAAAATATATTTATATGATTGTTATCCTTGTATCACAGCCAAAGAATTGGGGCTAAGGATGAATGTTTTGCCTAGGGACATTAATGAAATTATCTTTAAGAGTATTGGTGACTTCCAAGTCATGATTTATATATAATGCATGCATTGTATGAAGTCACAATTCATATATATGAAGGCGCTTCAGATGCTAATCTCTCAAGTGAAACTGGAAATGAAGCTGGTTTACAAAAAAATCAGTTTCTAGATTTCAATCCTCTTCTTTATTTTGACTATAGTAAAAATGTAGTAATAGTAATGGCTATAGTAATCGCCCAAGATTGTATCTGGAGAACCTTATATACTTCCCAAATAGTGAGTTTGCCTGCATTTTTCTGACTGGCTTGTACCTGCCAGTCAAAGCAATTGCTGCTTTCATGTGTGTGCATGTACGTGCGTGTATACACACACAAACACACACACANAGGTTAGAACTGGCAGGAACCCACCCTTTGTCTGTATGTGTGTGTGTGTGTGTGTGTTTCTCTTTTTTGGGAGTAATTGAAATTGTGATAGAGGTTTTGTAAAAGTGTGGGGGACAGAGAGGATTGAAAGAAATTTAAAAAAAAACCCCAAAATAAAAAATTCTCTTTGCCAAAGAAAGTATGTCACTGTCTAATCAAAATAATTTTAAAAAAGCATGCAAATAAAAGCAGCATTAGAACTTTTATTTAATACGTTTCTTACATTTTTGTTCTAGTTTGGTGGATACCTCATTTTGAAGAAACAGTTTATAATTCTCCATCTTGGTATTAACTGAGAACTGTTTGTATGGGCCTCCATTGGAAAGACCATATGTGCACAACTGCAAACATTCTTTCTTGATGTCCTAATAATGTTAATGTGGGGATAAGTATTTTAAGTATTTTCAGGACAACACACAGTGGGCTTAGCTTGATTGTCTACATAAAATATCTGCAAGAAGTTTAGAAGATATGTTTTTATTTTGTAGGGGGTGGTGGGTTATCTTAACTCTACATAACACTGAAGTTCAAGTGCTCCCTTATAATTTACATACAGAGCAATCAATCATAACATGTTAATTCAGATTTCTCTTTGAGATATTATATCTTTGAAAATACTGGTGCTGTCAGTATCTCCCAGACCTGTTTGATATGCCATGTGATTAAAAACATTTTATTGAGAACAACCAGGTAGGTCAAATTTATGCAACAGGAACAGGGATTGCTGATTTCACTTTTATAAATCTTCCTCTCTGTCTTTCTTGAACATACAACGAAGCATGAAAAACTTTCCAAATATTAATGGAAAGTATTTAAATAGTTGTACGTGAGAAATACTAACGAGTAGGAGTTAATTGAAAAGTATTAAGAACTTCTTGGTTCTTTACCCATTTTTCCAACGTTTAAAGTTGCTTCAGTATATTCTTGCAAGTTTATTTATGAATCTGATCAGCAAAGTAGTCTACATTTTGCTTAAATATAATGCATTTAGTATTTTGAAGTAGCATGTTTTTCAGTGTGGGAGTTCTCATGAGGAAAGTGAATGTTTTATGTATGCAAGTTTTGTGGTTGTGCCACTGTGGGACTGTGGTTTTGGTGGTGATTACTAGTTCTCTTCATTGCCTAACATGCCTCTTTTACCACTTAAACAAGCAAACTGATGTTGTGGTGAGGCCAGCAGCCAAAGGATAACGAATCAAGTCATATCAATATACAGAAAGCAATTCTGTATATATTTTTTCCTTACCATATCAAGCTATAATTAGTTAATGCTTTGGAGAAAGGATACTTTATCCAGACTTATGATTCTAGTGGAAAAAGAATATGAAAAGAAATAATCTTGCTAAGCAGTAATAAATTCTTAATGATAAAGAAAAAAAAATTCTGTTCATATTTTGTAAGTTAATTTACCTAATTTATTCTTAAAACTATTCAAATATATCAGAAATAAAATAATCTTAATATCTTCTATCTTAAAGGATGCTTACAACCATATATTAGACAACTAAATACAAAAAATATACTTTTTTACTTTTAGCACAATATTTTATTTTTAGCAAAATATCAAATATTTTTGTTAATTTTTTAAATTTCTTGATTAAATACTTCCTTTTAAAAGTCATGAATAATAACACTGAAGCACTGAGCTTCCAGTGGGGCTTAATTGAGATCTAATCATCACTGGAAAAATGGAGATGGCACCATGGTGGAGATCAGTGCCCATTGGGTCAATGCTAGATCTCCAGATAAAGGAGAGATTGTGTAATAACATACTCAATATAACATAACAATAACAGACAGCACTACCTGTAAGTAAATTGCAAGAAATGAAAATTTTGTGATTCACTTGCAAGTTCTGTGGCTGGGAGATGTGAAATTCCACTGATGTTCTTAGCCATGATGAAGCCTTTATGGACAACTACCCCAACCAAACCTAATTTCTTAGGCATATTTGGGATTATTTTACAGATTAAGACAGAGTCTCCTTTGTTGCAGGTAGGATTTCTCTTGGCAAGTTTCATTTTGCCCCCTAGAATACAAAGTTAAAAGAGAATTTAAAGATTTAAGAATATTTGGCAAAAACTTTAACAAAATACGATTTGAGAAAGCCTGAACTGCACAGGTATTTTTAAAATATATTTTTTTCTACAAAAGTACATTGGAATACCTGTAACTGACTTAAGCAGTTGACTTAGACATTTCATGGAAATGTTTTTACTTATTACTAAACAATGCAGGCAATTAGCGTTGCAGACAATTTGGTCTTACAAAACAAAAGAAACAGGTAACATGAGCAGACTGTGCTTCTGATTGAAACCATAGCAATGTGGATGTGATTACAGCATTAAAGGTGAAGGAAGATAAAAGAAGCGGCTTTCCTTTTCTCTTTGTGATTTTCATTTTGGATTGTAACATAATGGCTTTTTAAGACTGCTAATCTTGTTTGGTTCACTCATGTGTTTCCCAAGGTACGCCACAAGGGTGAACTAGCCAGAAAGAAAGATGGGTGGCTTTCCTGCAACCTCATCCAGGGCCCTCTCCCTCTTCTGAAGCCGCCTTGCAAACAAGATATTGCAATCAAGAGGCTCCAGTGCCAGCAGGATTCTAACTGTCCCCAGGAAGTGATGGCTCATCTCCCACTGAAGTGGTACCTATTTATCTACTCCCATACAACATGCTTTCAAACTGCTAGGTGGGCAGAAGCTGAGGTAAATGGAAGGAGTTCACCTCACCAGGTGGTGCTAGGTTTCGAACCACTGGAGTAAAGACCATTTCCATTATCTTTAACCCACTGAGCCACTGTGCCTCTGAATATAATGGTGACTCAAAAGGCAGCACAGAAGGGGAGAAAAATATTGTTAGAGTAGATTTGATTTACTCCAGATTTGATTTACTTCAGAAAATGTTAACTTGACAGCAAATTGAGATCACTTGAGATTAAATTTACAGTTTTTGAAAAAAAATAGGTGAAAGATATATAAATATAAAAGAGGAGATAAAAGAACTTAAAAAGATGAAAACTAAGTAAAATAGACGTTTGAAGAAATAAAAAGTCAATGATAAAGTGGGAATTTTAGAAAGTAAGAAATAAATTATAGCTAGAGAGTTGGAGAATTTAAATAAAACAGGTTTAATGAAATATGTAAAAACTAAAAACAACAGACACATTGTCGTAATGTTTTATTGAATTAATTACAGAATACAAAACAGCTTATTCCCAATTATTCTAAATAATATGCTATACCTTTATTATTTCTCAATCTATAGATTTCCAAAGGATTGTTGTTTTCTTAACTATGATTGGTGAACTTTCAGTATGTCTAAACGTTTAAAATGCCCTCCATATCCATAGTAATGTTCAGCTATTTACATGGAATTTACTTATTCCATAATGAAATTGTATCTATGTAAACTTAGTAACTATATTGTTATCTAAGGCATCACTGAAACAGGAAAAGCTGCTATGCAACTGAGAATGTGGAGGTCGTTTTACACAGGAAAGAAAAGCGTTTATTTTGTCATGGCTTCTACCAGCACTGACATGCCTAAATCCAGTTCCAAGCTAAGTCTCTAGGGGAATATCTCTATATTGAATACAATAACAAGATTTGCTAGTACTCACCTTTCTATTCCTCGTCTGTGCTCACTTTCTCATCTTTACCAGTTTATGTATTAGATTCCCTTTTTGTCTGCATTCTGTTTATTCCTCTTGAATTCTCACTAATCTTGTTCTAGTCTTTTTCTTTTGTGAAAGTATAAAGTGGTCGTATTTTCCAAGCTTCATCAAAGCCCAGAAAAGCTGATAAAAAAGTATATACAACCATGTCTGCATTAGCTACATTCCAAGAAATTAGTAAACTAGAATACATTCTGATAAGATAGTTCATTTCATTTAGTCCCCATGTTTCCTTTCCCTAAGCTACCTGTTCATTTACTTCACATAGTTTATTCCCTGCACTTCGGTCATGTTCTTGTCAAGTATGCATTAAAAGAAATTGCTTTTCTAAATTAAAAAAGATAACATTATTAAACCTTTGGAATTAATGCTTTGAATTACATTTTAAAAGAACCCTTTAACATATCTGTGAACACAAAAACTTAGATCTTCTATCCAGATTGCTAACAGGCCATTAAAAATATTATTGCCTTTGTGATTAGGTGAGTGGTCTCTTCAGCATCTGTAGAAAAAAATAATTCTCTGTTATAGTATAAAGCTTCTTTGCATAGATAATATGGTAGGTTTTTTATGTGTATAACATTTAGTAAGGAACTCAAACAGAACAACATGGAGAAACTAAGGCAACATTACAGATTAAGTGTGCCTTTTAAAAATTTGAATTGGATACAAGTTCTGTTATCATTATAACAGAATAGTATATATCTAATTTAATACAGTTTGGTACATAAGATTTTTAAGTTACAACCCTTTAAAACTTTATTAATGTGCCCATTTTTTTTCATCAGACTACATGAAACTTACAAACTAGAAACAAATATCATACAAAGTGCAGATAACTCAAGAAACTACAGCTGGTAAAGAATATAACAGCCTCCTTATTTGTTGGGAACAGAAGCTATTGCAGCATTACATCCATATTTTAGTTATTATACTGGTTGCTACCAGTAATAGTTTTCATAGCCCAATTCAAAGTGCTGATTTAAGTCTATAAAGAACCTCACAACATGAGTTACCTTTGGAACCATCTCATCCCACTCTTTTCATCTTATGAACTCATCAAGAGATGAAACACTTAGGGATGTCAGCTTCACAGAGTTGAGGAAACCTGGACCTGATGGCACATCTTCTCTATGGTGGTCCCAACATTTTGGAAATCTTTTGCCTTCAGAGATGAACCTGGCCCTTCACTATAGCGCTTCCACAAGGCACTTAAAATTATACATTGCTCAGGTCAGTTGTTGAATTTTTAGTAAAGATGTCAATGTTTGGGTTTGCAATTTCAACTTGTTAATTTGTGTGATAATACTGGCAGTATTGTTGTTTGTGTGTTCTGTTTTTCATGGGATTTTGTTGCATTCTGTTACGCAAAGGGCAATGTATAAACATTTAATAAATGATTCAGTGATGTGAGTCAGACTTATTAATCATTGTTTTTCACCATCCAACAAAATGATATTGTATTTGCTACAGGAACATTGTACACAGGAAAATATAACATTGTCATTTTAGTAAATTATATGTTATACATTAAAGTAGACTTTAACAAATTCTATTACTAGCTCATAGTATTTAAATGGGACAGAGGGAATTAATAACATTTTTATCTTGAATATTTTACGGTAAAGATAAATAATGTAACTGAATCCTGTCTTATCTTGAAGATAATTAGGTGGCTTACTGTATTCTCAGTCTAACCCAACCTGAATGGATTCTTTTGAGTATAAGATGGGCGACATAATTAATACATAATCAACACACCAGCAAGTAACACAATCCACCAAGTGCAACGTGGCCCTGGCTCCATTTCTTCGCAATAACATTTCGCTTGAAACCTCCTCAGACTCTCCTCCTTCCTTCCAGCCTGAATAATTTCCCATTGACCTGTTCTTAAGAAGAGCCCGAGTGACACTGGACCAGCCTCTCACCGAAGACCCTGTCGGGCGGGGGGCAGGGGGTCGGCGGATGATGTTGGTGGGTGGCTGCGGAATCCCGTTGCCCACAAACCTTTCCCCGCCTGGGATACTGGGGAGGAGTAAAGAGCCCGGGCGCGTCACGGTGGGTGTGCGCGCCTTGGAGCTTGGGATAAAGGGCTGGCAGCGAGAAGCGCTCCGCTCCCCAGCAGCCGGCTACCCCCTTAGAGGCGTGAAGCTCGCCCGTCCTGTCGATGGAGAAGGAAGACTAAGAGACATCGCTGTGAACTGCCACTTGGTACCAACTTGGGCACCAACTTGGGAGCGCACAAGTTGGTAACAGGCGCATACGCGCTCCTAGTAGAGCCTGAGGTAGCCCATCGTTTTCTGCCACTTTGCTGCAAACTTTCAACGGAGCCCCGCGCGACCTTCAAAGCTGCATAGGTCCACCGCGACCCGCTCTCAGAAAGAGGCCCGAGGTAAGAACCTTCCTTCTTGGCTCTTTGCTGCAAAACGTGCGCGTGCGCACACTGGCCAAAGTCCCAATTTGCCAGCGCGGTTCCTTTTCTGCCGGCTGTTTGCATCCCTGTGAAAGAAAGCAGTCCTTTGAACCGAGGGGCGAAACTGCCCTGTGCATTTTTAAAGCTTTCTCTCACACCCGGTGGCCTCCCTGGAGTTCGGCGTCGTTCCCAGAAACAGGAAAGAAGAGTCATTGTCCCGCTGTCTTGGGGGCTCGTTGGCAAGAGCGAACAAGAGAGAATAAAAGAGAATTGGGTGGTATTGAGGAACTTTGATCCTTCTATCAAAGTTGTTGAAACCTACGGATTTTTAAAAGTATTTTGCAGTTTCTTGTAATAGCGATGTGATTATGCAAGGCAGGAGAAAATACATCATTCAAAGGTACAGAAGACCTTTTACTTTTCATCGGTTTGTGCCCACTTTCCATTTATTAATGAAATGCTTGTAAGTTTCATTGATTTCTGAGAGAATTGTACCTTCCTTATTGCAGGTATGCGGAACAATTCAGATTATTTTTCTACTACAGTTATTAGAAGGAACTCTAACTGATCATTTTTTGGGGTGGATGGGTGGGAGGGGTTGCTTACTTGCTTTGTCAAATACCTTGAATGTGAATTGTGACTAAAGATTTGGAAATGCTCATGAATGTTGTTATACAAAAAATATTAGTTCTAAAAATAGAATGCCTTTGTTCAAACTTACATAAAGTTCAGATCAGTGTTAAATACTTTGGTGCCTTAACTGAAACTAGCATTTAGAGCAGTGCTTCCCAAACTTTGTTTTTATTACCCAAAACTTCTTATCAAAAATCCTCTTTATCCAATGTAGATAAAAAATTTAAGCCAATTTAAATGTCCCCGAGAAATGGGTTCATGTATTGTTAATCAAAGAAAAACCACTTTCCTCCAAATTTGGAATAATTTACCCAAATTTGGAAACCACTGAATTAGAGAGTTCATTACAAGTTTAAATGTCTTCTGAATGACTAAAAGGTAGAAATATAACCTGTAATGTTTTGTAAATAAATGTGTTTCACTTGCAATATAAAATAATTATTTTTTTTACAAAAATATTTTTCTGTAGACCTCCTTAGATGAGCTATTTTCTTTTTGTATGCTTTAAATTCATAGTTCTTTTTAAGTTACAAAAACTTTTTCAGAAGAGATTTTGAAAGACAGTAGAATTGTAAGTTAATTATATGCTGTTCTTTTCTTTTTAAGTAGTTTCATAGGAAATATTAGTTTTCTAATAGAGCCACAGTTATGTGTTTAAATAGTCCAACATAATGCTTATGAATGGAAATGAAGATAAGTTGCCATTCAGAATCAATGCAAATATGGTCTCTTTCCTCTTTAGCTATGACACTGAAACAGCTGCGCTTTCACTGCTGTAAAATAGCTTGACTCTCTTTTGCCATTTCAACCAACAGACCTGAAATAAGCTTTTGGTTTGGAATTAACCCAGAAGAGTTTTGACATCATTCATCATGAACAATGAAGAATGGTTTAGAGTAACTGCTTTGCTAGTCATAGCTCAAGCAGTTTCTACTATGGTGCTTCCCAATGCAACAGTATTTGAGGACATGCTGGAAAAATACATGGATGAAGATGGTGAATGGTGGATTGCAAAGCAAAGAGGAAAAAGAGCTATCACTGACAATGATATGAAAAGTATCTTGGATATTCATAATAAATTACGGGGTCAAGTTTATCCGCAAGCTTCCAATATGGAATACATGGTAAGGGTCTTTTGTTCTTCATCTTCAGAAATTGTGTGGAGGGAATGGGCGTGGAGAAGAACAAAATGACAGAATGGTTCCTACCTTTGAACAACATAGAAATATTACCTACATGACATTGTTGATGCTTTACAGCATTTTCTATTTAACTTTCATGAAGTTATAATAACAAAATAGAAGTTCCTTTTCTTATCCATTTTATGGTTTATTCCAGAACTGTTAAAAGGTTTTCTTAAATTCACATTTTTAAAGTTATACTAGACAATTGGCTCATCCTTTCAGAAATATTTACTTATTTAAATGAATAGGCAGAATGACTATGGGTGGACAAAAAAAGCAGCGAGATTAGGAGTGATATCTATCTTCCTGTTGGTTTCCCCATTCATTCTAATTTTGGGAAGCTAGCAGGGAGGGTGGGAAATTATGACCATATGACTATGGCTGACTGTGGTGCACTACAATGGCTAAATCTTTGTGCAACTAAGGGAGCTTAGTGGTGAGGAAAAAGACAGTTGATAAGTAGACTGACTAAGAAAAAGAGACAACTAGTATATGTAGACAACAAGGAAGTAGAGGGGGGAGAAAAAGGGTGTGAAGGAATGAAAGAGATGAGTGGGAAAGAGAGACTGCTAGCATTTGTGACGTAATAAAAATTTTGAGTAAAGGAGAAAAAGGAAGAAATATTGAAATGAATAAATGAAAGTGTGTTTCTAAAAGAAAGGGGAATGGATGTAGGATATTTAATAGGTTTGATCTTACAGAGAGAAATTGATGAATATATTCATGGAAATGAGAGTGAAATACACATGGAAGTTAAACTATATCCCAGAAAAAAAGGTTATTATTTAGATGATAGTGTAGGAAGCAGTAGGAATGTGCATGTTGGTGATAAGGTTGTATACATTTATTCATGCATGCATTACTCTATGCACAGAACATTTCCCATGTCCAAACATTGTTATGTTCCTGTGTTGACTCAAAATTATGCTTGGTCTGGGAAGATCAGTGGCTGAGCTGGCAGGAAGGAACAAAATGGAAAGAGGAACACCAACTTTAATTTTTGAACTATAATTTCTTTAAGAGTCGTGGTGACTCAGTGGTTATAACGCAGTGTTCAGCTCACTGCCAGGAGTTCGATTCTGACCTGCTCAAGGTTGACTCAACCTTCAATCCTTCCAAGATCAGTAAAATGAGGATCCAGATTGTTGAGGGCCATGTGCTTACTCTGTAAACCACTTAGAGATGGCTATAAACCACTATGAATTGGTATATAAATCTAAGTACTATTGATATTGCTATTCAATATATGAAACAAAATGTATTTACTGTGCATACCTATAAGTTGGTTATGATTGCATTTTACACTCTAGTGCAGGGGTGTCAAACTCAAGGCCCGTGGGCTGGATCCAACCCATGGGCTCAACCTGGAAACAATGAAGGAACAGCCCACCATGCTTCTGCCAGAGAAAATGGAGGATGGTAGGGCCACCCGCAGCCCTTCTGATCTCTGACACAGGGTTGCAGGAGGCAATTGCAGCTGAAAATGGTGCTTGGGAACCACATTTTCGATGGCAGAGCGCTTTGGCCACCACTAGTGCCCAGACATAAGTGATGTTGAGCTGGCCATGCCCACCCTAGTCCCCGAGGTCAAACACAACTCTGATGCAGCCCTCAATGAAATCGAGTCTGATTGGTGATAACAAATGGGTGAATCACAGATTTTGGAAAAAATGGTTTAAGGAAAATATTCTGAAGGAAAAATAGTTGTGTTAGATGACATAATCAGATAGGTCAGACTGAAATGAGAGAGTACATAAAAATGATTGGGCCAGAAATTCCAGAATGAATAAGAATGGTGACAGTGGGTATTTATTAAAAAATACTGTTTGAATTTAATACAAAATTTAATTTTATATACTGTAAATAATTTAATATAAATCTAAAAGTGTGATTAATTTGCCAGTTTGCAATGAAACACCAAGAGAACAAAATTCAAAGAAAATGAGAGATTCTAAATATAGGGTAGTGTGATGTTATGGACTTAAACAACCACTTTGAAAATTAGTGAAGAGGGCTAAACAAGGAACCTCCAGCAGAGTGAATAGAATTAAAAATAAATGTGGTAAAATAAATGTGATATAAAACTGAAGTAGGAAAAGGATTATTTCATAGATATGTATGGGAAAGTTAATGATATGTTGAAAAGTGCAATTGATAAAAAGATAAAAAGTCATAAATGCTGTGAGAATATTGAGAAATGGAAAGGCTGCATGTGTTGATGGTATAAGTGAGAAATGTTGAAATATAGATGCATTTGAGACTTAGTTAATATATGTTTCAAGATTGTGTTAGTTCTGATGATCAGAAAATAGTGGTGACACTGAAAGTGTGATTCAAATATCATTAGTAGTCTGTAGATGCCTACAAGACATCCACTCTCCCCACATTCTTGGGCCAAAGCCAGTCACTGACTCATCTGGTGACTGTTCATTGCTGCATTGTTTTCTTCTTCCATAGAATGCCAACATTAGAATTGATTTGTGACTGAAAACAGTCATTGATGCACTAAAGTTACAGTACAGACAGCTATGTACATTCAGAAATCATACAAGAGAGGATTGGTCAATAACAAGTACAATAGCAAGAACAATAACTATGAATGACACAATCAGTTCAAGAGCAAAAGAGTATCTAAAAATAGGGCTCATTGAACTGAAGATAATTCATCCTTGATAGCTAAATAATTATATTCTGAAACAGGAAGTTTGTAGACAGAATTATTCTAATGGCAAGGTATTATAAGTTAAGTGATAAATAGATATTTAATTTTGGTTTAAAGTTTTAGGACAAAATTTAATTTTATAAAAGCACTTAAAATGGCAAAAATTGGAAGGCCAATGTAATAATATTGCTTGCCCTCACCCCAAATATAAACTTGCCTGCTTTAAAGATAAAAAAGGAGAAATATTTTGGGAGATAGTCTCTTAATTTTATGCATGTTTAGTTAGTTTATAATTGCATAAAATTTAAGATATTCTTTATACTAATGATAAAGTAGCAAGCAATAAAATAAAAAACTACAGAGTTATTTTTATGAAATGTATTGTGGAATGAGTTTGGAAAAAGTCTGATTAAAATGAAATATTATTATGATAGTGAGCAATATTTGAAAAGTAAACGGCAGTTACCTAGTCAGTAGGCAAATGCAATCCATAGATTTTTTTCTTTAACAGCTGACTTTAAAATGAATGAATGTAGGAGAGTTTATTGTATATATGCTGATTTTTTTAAAGTATGGTAAAGTGAATAGGCTTTAATGATGGAATGTTTTGTGCCATATAAAATTGAAGGTTGGTTGAGGAATGTAATAAGATGATATACAATGGAAATAAACCAGGTAGAAGAATTAATTATATGCTTAATCCTGGTTCAACATTGATTAGGGAAAAAGACACAAATAAGTGCTATCCCCTTGATTGTTTAAAATAGGTGGTGTCACTCTCAAGGCCCATGGGCTGGATCTGACCCACGGGGTGCTTAGAACTGCCCCGTGGAATCTGGCTCTGGAAACAGTGAAGGACCGGCCATTGGTGCCTCTGCCAGTGAAAATGAAGCTTGTATGTGGCACTCCTGAGCACCATTTGGCAGAGGGCTGCAGGATATCGAGCTCGCCATGCCCACCCTGTCCACAGTCACCCTAGCCATGGCCACATGGTTCTCTGAGGTCAAACACAACTCTGATGTGGCCCTCAATGAAATCGAGTTTGGCACCCCTGGTTTAGAATATGTTGGCTGACGATGTATCTTTTGTATGCAGAATAAGTTGTGATGTTGATGAAAACACAAATTGTTTGCAGAGAATTTTAGATTCATTCAAGCAAAATGAATAGAAAGAAAATGTATTAGCAACCAAGGTAGTTGTGTTTGAAGAAAAAAACAGAGGAGGAGGAGCCAAGGTCACGACGATATGGTTGTGTGGTCTCGATGCTCTGAGACCGCAACCAATACTTTTACCACTGGGTGGTCCAACGGACCTAAACCGTCTCGAAGAGACAGTGAACAGGAAGAATACGTCTTGCTGATCTCGGGGATATCGCAAAATCCCTGAAAGAAGCAAGAGAAGTTCTTCAAGATGGCGGCAAAAACTCCAGCCAAAGCTGACGAAGTCAGGGCAGCTCCAAAACAGAAGGATAAGGAAAGAGAAAGTGTTTCCAGCTGGTGAGGAACTTTTACTGTTTTAAAAAGAGACTGCCTATAAATACTTAAAGATTAATTTAAATTGAAGAATAGAAGAGTCAAACGGTAGAATTAAATTTGGAATGGTTTTGGACAGTGGTTATATTATTTTTTAAATGCTATCTTCATGGATGGAATGTATGCAAGCCTTTTGAAACGGATGGATTAAGTTTTCTTCTTCTACCTTCTTTTTATGATTCTCTGTAATCTATAGGCTAAAGTTTTTCTCTTTCATTGCTGTGGGTATTTTTCTAATTCATTTAAAGATTGGACTCCTTTTTCTAACTTGAAATACAAAAAAAGATACAAAAGGAAACTTTTTAACAGCATAACTGCTGCTCGGAGGCTGGGAGGTTTTTGTTCTTTCATGGATTGTTTTTGACTTGGCATCACAAGGTTTTACTGCTTGGCTACAAAGAGTGATAAGAAGGAAAACACACATGGCCTTTTAGAGTGGAAACAACATCCTTTGTGAGTCTATGCTTTAATCTTATTAACCTTCCAAGCTAGAGCAGCTGTGTTTGTTAGAATGGCACAACTCCAAACAAAATAGAAGTCTCAAATTTGCAAAAGATACTTTCAGAAATACAGAAATTATCAAATATTATATGAAAGAATAGATGAAAAACTGGAATACTTACAGCACATAACAATAAAATATGATAAAAAAATTTAGGATGTTTATCAAATGCAAGACGGGGTGATTGAAACTCAAAAAACCAAAGTGGAAAATGAATATAAAG